GGGTTAAGTTCCCAAAGGCCAGTTTTCACAAATTTCTGGCCCCCACCCCCTATTCAATTCCAGATTTAGTATAAAGCCATTTTAAGAGAAAATTATCATTTAAAAAATTTCTCCCACACTGACTCCACCTCGAAGGAGGAAGGGGCTTTCTAGCCAGTCTTCAAACACCCCGCTGGAGGCTAGCTGTCAGATTTACAAATAAACCCAGGCAAACAGAAAACATTAAAACAGAGAGCCAAGCCACCCTGTGTCCATCTTGCACAACTTGTTTAAAGGATGCAACGTGCATCATCAAAGAAAGACAAATCTAGGGAGACTTAAACTAACCCACTCCCTCTCCTGCCTCTCTCCTATTTACCCACAGAAGCAGGCAGGCATGTGGGGGTGCCAGGAGGGAGAACCCCCATGTCCTTCGCAGGGAAGAGGTCCTGTTTCTCATTTTGTGGACAATGTTGGAATGTGCATTGGCATCCAGGCCTTTTAAAAGCCTGTCAGGGGGCACCCTGCCCCATGCTGCTCTGCTGCTCTGTCTAGGGGACTTGCTAAGTGGCATTCCTGGTATAACATGAAAAGTATGCATCACACACACTCACCAAGTCAAAGATCCTTTTAGGAAGGTACATTAAAGCAATGTTCAGCCCAACAAGCTCAGTTCTTGCTACTGAAAAGTCTAGGGCGACAGATATGGGGTGAGACTTTCCTGTGCTTTCAGCCCCGTCCCCTCCCTTCTCTTTTCGGATAGCCATCATTTTATAACAGGCGCCCTTCACGATAAAAAGAGCACCCATTTTAAACAGAGGAATTTACAAAACATTTAACACACTCTCTTTAATACACTGCATTCTTCGCCAATTTCTTCTTGGTCCATAAGACTTAGGGCTCTAACTGCTTATTTCGGGTCCGCGGAGTTCCTAGGAAACTGGGCTCACTTCCTACCCGACGATGGGCGGGAGATGAAAAGAGGTTGCTAAGAGTGGAAGAAGCCTGTCTCTATAAATAGTGCAGGAGGAACTGAAGTTAGAGATGAGACATGCAGCACCACTGACAAGTGTGTGCGTGCAGGTATCCATTACAAAGGAACGCGGTGGCCCTTCCTTGCTGGGCGTACGTATGGTGTCCCCAGAATTCTCACGCTCAATTTTTAGGAGAATCTGTTTCATCTAGGGAGACAGGCAACTCGTCCCATATTTGTGACCCCAGTGTGACATAATTGCTGGGTGTGCGCATGTGTTTAAGAAAGGGGTTAGAAGCCTTGGTGCTTTGTTTCCTTGCCGAAGAAAATTTTAAATGATCACCTTGGGATTCTTTTAGCTGTAGAGAAGCACTTGGGCCTGGAGTGGAACCATCAGTATTGAATTCTGTATGAATAGACCACTATGGTACCTTTAATGTAAACCGCATTCACAAGTCAATCCATCATTTCTCCTGATGAATGAATTATGCCACCAGTCATTGTTAGAGCTATTATTTAATCAACACATTAATTTATTAAAGCAACCCACAATTTAGCCACTCGTTTCTTATCATTTGGCCAGCAGTAAATCTCCTTCTCACGTTTCTAGAAACCTTCATTCTTCTCCCAAATTCTTCATCTCAAGTGTGAAGGAAGGACAGAAAAACAGGCCGCAATTCTTTAAAGACATCCCCTTGTACTCTTAAAGAGCCACGATATGCTGGAAGGTGAGAAATGGCCTAGTTAATTTTGTCGATAATGAAGTTTAAATTATTGACACCCACTTTTATACATTAGTCAAAGCGGGAAAAGAAACCTTTCCCAGCTACCCTCTGGGCTCGGCATTAAAAAAAAATCTGATTTGCGTTGCTGCTTCCATTCTCTTCATTTGGTCAATGGCGATGGAAACGCGCATCAAAGTATTTCTAACCACAAACAAAAAGGCAGAAGTTTGAGAGTAAAATCCATTTCGTTTCAAGTAATTGTAGCTTTGCCAGTGTGACAGCGCATCTGAAACCCCATAATCATAAAACAACATTTATAGCCAGGGTTCAGGGTCTACATCTGTTTCTCTGGTTTTCATGCAGCAGTTACCCACTGGACAATCCAGAAAGAAACACCGTGAATCACGCTCTGCAAACATGTTTGGACTGGAGAGTTTTGTGAAGTAGAGCAGGGCGTCTGTGGGCTCTGGTGTCGCACGCTGCCGTCCTCAGAACTGGTCAGATGGCTAAATAAGAAGGTTCTCACAGGCGCAGACACATCGGACACAGACACCAGGCATGCAGCCGGTGAGCAGGCGCAGGGGTGGGGTGGAGGGAAGTGAGCACTGATCGTTTTTTTTTAAGAAGACACGCCTGCTTCTTTCATGGGTGTGTGTGTGTTCCCCCCTCGCCTTGTTTTGTTTGGTTTTTACTGTTAATCCTCTATAAATCCCTCTTGTCACAGTTCTGGCAGGAGAAAAAGTAGCTAGTACGGAGTGAACTGCATGCTTTGTCAGGGAAGTAAAAGCAAGGATGTTTTGCCAGCGCAAGGTAAATGCTGACACTGCCTCCAGGCCTCCCCGAAGCAGCCAAAGGTGCTTTTGGGCGCAGCTGGAAGAAGTTCCAACACTGACCGACCACCCATAGAAACTTGGTGTCTGGCCCCACGACCTCTCACTGTAACCAGACGGTGATGTCTGTGGCTCTTATACCAGAAGATACCAAAGCACTACTCCACCATTCACTCTGAAAGGGGCTGGGGTTGTAGAGGGTCTTCCAGAACCTGGAGAGGCATTCTCTGCCCTGCGAAATGTGGCCACTGTGACCTGCCTTTTGCTTCCTTCGCTCTGGTCCCTTGCTTCTCATGTATGTTTCCGTATATATGTATATGCTCTATATTATTATATCTCTCCATAAAGTAATACTCCCAAAATTCAGCGTATTGCTGCAGAAAAACATACAAACCTCTCAAACAAAAAATATCAGATGGGAAGCCATTGGTTTTCACCATCTCCTCCACCTATGTCTATCCATTTCTGAGTGGTACCTCCATCTCTCGCAGCCTTCCCCTGACAAATTCTAGGTCTTTGATTTATACCATATCAAGATGGCAGTTTTGACAGCCTTGAGGGATCCGAATGGTGGTCATTTTTAAAAAAAATCTTGGTGTTCTGAGAACTAAATGAAGCTTGAGGGGGCAAGGTCAGTGCTGCGGGGAGATGTGAGGTAAGGGTTTCCAGTGAAATTCTCATAGGTTAGTCCTCGTGGTCCTCAAAACACGGGCAGATGCGGCATCCTGATGGAAACCGAGAACCACTCAGCGCACTCTCCTAGGCTTCTTATCACCAATGCAGTTTTCTGTTTTCTTAAAACTTCTTCCTAATGAGCCTATGATGATCTTATATCCCTTGAGAAAACCGATTAAGACTACTCCATTGGAATGCCCCCAAACATTCACTATAACCTGAGCTGACCTCTCTACTTGAATTGAATTGGCTCAGCCGATCTCCTCAGAAGCCAGTGTTTTGATTGGACCTTTTTTTTTTTAAAGACACGCTAAGGAGATTAAGACACATTTACTCCGAGAGAAC